ACATGGCACCTGCCCAACGAGTCTCAAACTTGTCGACTCAAGAGGATGAGGACGTTACTTTGACCTCTAGCCCCAGCATCTGTCATGCTCCAAATCAAAATGGCTCTATGGACTGTGACATGCATATAGTGAATAAGTACTGGTAGTGTTTTGATGTAACAGCAGACTTCCCTGTCGATTTCATGTTACTAGCATGGTATAACAGTCAAAAGTAAAAAATACTTGTGGTGCCATTATACGATTATTGTAACATAAAATTCAAATGCTTCAGTGATTTTATAGTGTTTCTTCAAGAGAAATATATCTGATGATTTTTTTAGCTTTCTAGCTCTGCTCTAGACCAGAATATGTCAACTTATAGAGAACTGCATATAATGACCAAACAATCATTGTAGAAGTTTCCATGGTACAGTTTCCAAGCCAAAACACAATATCCTGGTAAGAGTGATTCAAAGAAATATTTCAAACTGGAAAGGGTAACTTGCAAAATTTATTAATCATCTCCAGGCATATACAATTTGGTAAAGCATACTTTATTTTCATTCACAACCCCAATATTGTACATATTTCAAGAGACCATTTATGATCACTTACTTTCGTACACCGTTAATTTTCATAAGATACAGTATCAAACGTGCATTACACATAGTAACTGACAGGCTCTACACACACACACACTCCCAAAATTATAATACATGCCCCAGAACACGCACACACTCCAACATCATACAACATGAGGCTTTACCCCACACATAAACATTCCCACATTATGCTGCAATCACCACAAATACAAAACCAACATTATACAACTGATCCTACACATACACATACCAAAAATGATTGTGAAGGGCCATCACCAGGTATTTTGTAAAGATTACTTCGCGGGGCACAAGTCCTTGTTACACTGATCAATAACACAAAATTTCAGAAAGATAATTTTCACTTTTCAGTCTCTTTTTTCCGTGTCATTTGTTGAGACACAAGCTCCTTTGTTGCCTTTGGACTTACTGGAGCAAGATGTGCAGACAATCTTCGAGGGTCATCTGCTGCCATAGCCTTTGGACGGTGCATTCCCATCTTGTCTTCTAAGCGTGCAGAAAGCATCCTTCTCAGAAGGTCCCTCACGTGCTGATAGTTTTTGTTTACCTTGCATGGGTATACAGACCACCTTCCACTTTTCTTATTGAAAGTTCTGTGATACCTATAAAAAAATGTTGTTTATAACTGGGTGTGTCACATAAGTCCTAATAAAAGTTTGAGAACAATGACCTGATGTTGACTCTACAATATCTCTAATTATCAATAATTCAACAGCTCATATAGCTAAGGTTGACAGTCAGTTAAAAAGGTACAAAATATGAAATGGACCTCCTCAATCTGAATATTTGATATAGAGACAAAATTTTCAATTGATCTTTCGATCAAATGGTCATGACCTTGTGCCCTAAACTTTTAATGATAACTTATTATTTTTTTATGTATATAAAAATTTAACTAGAAAATGATCTGATAGACAAGAAAACTGATCATACAGGGCTCTTGTACTGATACTGGACCCTAAAAACAGTATATAAATTGGAAAATGAAGAGATAAAGACTTACACAACTTCTCCTTTCTTGTTCATCAGTAATGGCTCTTGTCCAAGGCTTCTCAGTAATATCTATATGACAATTATTGACCAAGGCTTAATAATTACATGACAATTATTGTCCAAGGCTTCCAGTAATGGTATATAATTATTGGAAGGCTTCATCAGTAATGGCTATATACAATTTTTCCAAGGCTTCATCAGTAATGGCCTATCTAAGGCTTCATCAGTAATGGCCCATCTATATGACAATTATTGTCCAAGGCTTCATCAGTAATGGCCTATCTATATGACAATTATTGTCCAAGGCTTCATCAGTAATGGCCTATCTATATGACAATTATTGTCCAAGGCAGCCAGCTGGTTTCTTGTTCTGTATGCTGGAGGACTATATTCAAAACGCTTTGCACAATACATCAAAATAAGATTGTTGAATACTTCAATCTCTGCTGTCATTCTGTAGATAAATATGAAAACAGGATCTTGTATACACTTTTAGTATGGTCATGAATTATCAAGGCTTCCACAGTTAACTAGACAGTGTCTTATTGTATATAAAATTGTAACTTCGTAACTTCTATAACCATATTATGATGTGAGCTAAAACCTTTATTATTCAGTCCGTCTGTTCTGAAGATCAGAATCATTCCACTAATCTACCACAATTTTTCAAATAAATCAAAGCATAAATTCCTCTAGAAATAACAAATGCATACTGACATTCTGGTTTTGATAAGAAATATATAACACTTCAAATAACAAGCACCAACCATTAAATGTAAGGCATGCCAATGCTACTTGTAAGGTTAACATTTGCTACAAACCTGTGCAATTTTTGAATGGTACTCAATCAAACATTAAATTGATTACTCCCTCGGATATTTTCCATACCTGAAACAGGCTTATTTCAAACTTGTACCAGCCCCCTTGTTTAGTTCAAGTGGGCTAGAGTTAAGACTGGTTGAATCTTTCGTACCTGAAGTTTTCAATGTATCCATAACTGTTTCTCAGTCTTTTGTCTAACACTATTTCATTAATAGCTTTAGCTGCGAGAGACTCCTTTGGAAGCCAGTCTGGTCTGTTTGCATCTTTCTCTAGGTCTCCATGTGAGCACTCCGCAGGCCCTTCACCTTCTGAAAGGATCCACTCATGTTCATTGCAAGCATGGTGGCGCACTTGTCCCCAAATATTCTGAAAACATTTGTTCCTTGCTTATTAATTCACTTAATTTCTGTAATAAGATAAGTTACTATATTCAATCATCTAAATGCAAATCACACACTAGAACTCATTATACTTACGATGAACCTCATGTAACCTGTGGCTTCTCTACAAGCATACCAAAAATGATTGACAATATGTTTGGCCCATCTCAGTAAATCTTTGCATCCTTTTTTCTGTCCAGCCTAAAAAAAAATGATCAAGTTGACTTCAACTCTTTCATATCCTCCTGTCTATACATATGTATCATGAAAACACCCCACCCCACCCCCAAAACACACACACCCTCACATATATGTGATAAATTAAAATAAAAAACACTGTATATGTCAAAACTATTCATCATGAAAATGATTAAATACAAGATACTCATAAAATGGTGCCATTATCTGTTATATCAGAGTATCATATCCTTTGATCAGAATCCTACATTTTCTCTATCAGTGTTTACCTTTGTTATCCTTTTGCCCAAGTTTTTGGCTACGTGCCAAATGTCATGACTGTGTTTGATCTCAGTATAAGATGTCCCTGAAAATCAACATATAGAATGTGGAAATAAACAAGGAAAAGGTAGCATGATACAGAAACACCAATATTTTATTGAAAAGATTTTTCGAAAATTTAAATTGCCGATTTAACTTGACCTAATATACAGTTACTTTCTTCCATACTTTCTCGGGAAAGACAATGTTTACACATGAAATGATAAATCTGTCTTTTCCTCGGGAAATACAGCTCACACGAGCTATGTCGTCACCATTTCATGTAGCGTAACCAGGTCACTGATTGCTGACATAATACATTTTGATGATCATTTGATGGTGAAGCCATGTATACAGTGCACAGCAACTTTCAATTTCTTTTGTTATTTCTGTACATTTAAGTAAGGGAGAAAAAAGAATCAAACATTGGTCTGTTAAGTGGACAGGGTCTCTCAACCCTTGTGTAAGAATTTGGCTGGTTAGCACTCGGCAAAGCCTCTGTTAACCATACATCAACTGTCCACCTTCCAGAGTACCAAATGTTCACATGTACCCCGGTCCTCAGACTGATGGTATATGTTCCTCTTCTGTTACTATACACTGGAATGTTCAGTTGGATAGTTATATATGATACTTACTCATCAAATATCCAATTCCCATATGTGCATCTGTCACCACCTCTTTCACACCTAAACCTTTAGCTTTTAACTCCTCAATGCTCCTTCGAAAGGCTTCCTTTTCAATTGTTGTTGATTTGCGGTCAACAACACGTTTGTCCATTGTTACTAAACTCAGCACCTTTTTGGTTTCCATTTCCATGAGGGAATAGCTACAGTACTGAGCACTATGCCCTGGACTATCCATTCTTCCATCTCCTAGAATTACGTAGACAGATCAATCAAAGTTTGAATAAAATTTATCAGTTTATGCATTATAAAAAGAATGCAAATGACCTATGTGAGGCCAATGTCAGCTAGACATTGTTTGCTACAGAAGTATATAATGAATACATGCAGAAGTGGCATATTATATTGATTGGATAGGGAACATACTATAAATGTTCCACAAAACATGATAGATTATAGAGGTAAATGTCATAGAAGCACATTAAATAATCACAACATAAGACCCTAATTGGCTTTCACAGCCATGTTTTGAAAACAAATTATGTCTGTTCTATATTTAATTGAACTGAGGAGGACATAAAAATGTTCCACTTAAATTTCATTTTTTATATAAAGTACATGTAAATTGTCAGCACTATGTCTTTTCCTGCAAAACTTTCAATCAGTTCTGTTTGGTGTTCTTTCCAAAACAAATCCACAGTAGGTCCAATGTAAAAGTTCTGTATCCTGTGGAATACAGCTGCACTTGGGAAATGAAGATTTAGCATCTTAGCCCAAAGGGCAAGCTTTCCAAAATTATTTCCGGATGTCACACACATAGCAGATATCAGAAAGTCCCCACTATGTAATCGTCTATTCAAAATATGCTGTGAACATCAAATGTGTTCAATGTGTTTGTCAGCACAAATCTATAATTAAACAAAACCGAGTTTAATAAATTATCATTTAACCAAGCTACAGTAGTACAAAAGATAGTGCAAATATTATTTTCTTGAATATACCACCATTTTCTTATTACTGTATGTACCTATTCAGCATGAATCAATGAAATTTACAGCAAATATTACAACAGGAACTTGTGAACAATCATATATATAATCACCTCCCTCCTTTAACACAATAATTAAATTTGTGTAAAAGTTTAGAAATAACTTGCAAAAGAACTTACTTCTACAAAGATACCAAAATGGGACAGACAAGCACTAGTTACTGACAAAACCTACATTGAATAGTATGTGTATACTCCCATGTTGACTTACCCATTTCAAATAAATAGCTGATCCCAGGAACTCAACCTCAATTGCCAGGGTCATCCTGCAAACTGAGCACTGCTCCTTTGCAGTATATGCTAATGCAAGAAGCTGGCTTACATACACGAAACAAACATCATCTCTTACAAGTCTATCTATATCCTCTGGACTCTTTACTCTCTTGACTCCAGGACCAACATCTTCCTCCACCACTTCAATCCCTGTCATGACATCTTCTTCATCCTTTTCCATCTCCTGACCAAACTCAGCTTCTTCAAATGCTAGCTCTTCCACATCATCAGTCATTCCTTCTGGCCTTTATGTTGTTGCAAAAACATTAAAGTGGAATTATTAAGACAAAACATCAGGACAAAATAATTGTAATAAAAATAAATAAGTAGGTTGTATAACTGTACTTACAAGTAATCATGTATTAATGTATGATATTAAATATACTTGCCACTGTAACAAGATAGGAAAATATACTTCATTGTTCTCTATATGAAGTTGTCACTTGAAGGTTTAAGGGAAGGTGGTTGTAACAGATGGGAGGCCTTATAGAGATATTTTTTTTAAATCAATAATACTAACCATTAGGACTAATGGTGTAATTATGGTACAGATGTACAACTTATGAAGGCTCAAGTATTTTGTGAATGAAGCTCATAGTAAGTATGATAAACAGCAATATGTAACTTACATAATAGAGAAGTTGAATTCTGGCTTATAATCGGGATCATTTTGTAGGTCGTCATGACCTTCTTCTTCAACCTCCGATATCTCAAGTGTCAAACTGAATGACAAAATAAAATATTACAACTTCCATTAATATACTTGTGAACAATTTCTGATTATCTATGTTCATACATGTATCTAAATATGAGTACTACATAACTATTCAAATTATCTAACAGATGAATATTTACTTACTGCAACTGAACTAACAGAATTATGGGCATTATAAATAAAATTTTCACTCTCAAGTTGTTTGTAAGAGCAAAATATTAACTGAGTTACAAAATATGATATAACTCACTCAATTGGATTCACAAATGATCCAGACAAGGCCTGCTTTCTCTTTCGTTTGCCTTCATCAAAAGATGGTTCCTCTGCTGATAGCTCTTCAACTCCTGACATAGTTGTCTCTCTGAATATTGATGATGGAATATATTATACATGTGTGCATTCCAGGGTGTGTGAATGTTACAATTATCAGTTCATGCTCTACGTTGTCTAGACTGTGTGTTGTGTCAAAGAATTTTTCACCGCACTGCTAGGAGATGACTTATACAATCTATGCCTGTTGTCAAATCAAATTACACACATTTTATTAAACAATAAAAGGGCCGGTTTCCAAAACGGCCCCTTCTCTGATTCAAATTTCCTGTTGGTGGTGCATTGCCGATGCCGTTGTGGTCACAAATCTATAAAGTATAAAGATTTAGGTCACTTGGTTTGTTTTTTATGGCTCCTCAAAGTTGTACCTTTCAGAAGCTGTCTAAATGTTGATAAAATGTGCATGTTATGTAAAATATTAATGAAAATCTAATCAAATGATAGGCATCGTAAAGAATACATTCATGGCATGATTGTGACAAAAAATCATGTTTCCATCGCACCATTTGGCTGTTTTATGGAAGAAACAATCTCAAAAATGCCATTTTCGATGATAACATTTTTGACACAAAAACTGTGTTTTTTAGAGAATACACCCTTTTATGGGCGTTGGATGCAAACCAATTTTTATCCTATTAAATAGTACGTAATATGCTATTGATGAGAGGAAAACTCATCAAAATGTAAGTGGTGGAACATTTTCAAATGTTGGGTTGAATTAGCCTATGGTTGAATTGCCGATTTTCGACTTTCTTTAGTTAATTAAAAAAAAAATGAGAGTATTTGCTCGGTATGTTGAGAATATGTACACAGATATGAAAAAAAGTGAGAGAAACACTTTTTCTTAAAAATATCCAAGATGGCTACTTCGCAAGTCCCCGTGGTTGAAGACATTGGCTGACAAATAGACAGAACAACAAACAAAACGTGTTCCTTATGATTTTGGTTGGTTTTCGCATTTACGGGATTGTTCATAGCTACCAGCGATTGTATAATACCTATATTTATAAGTTTGGTTAGTCACATGGTAACGGGGATCTTTCATATCGAGCCCCAAACATACTTTCGACATATGCACTCTGTTGCCGCATGGAAAACTATTTCAAGTTTTGTCGGAATTTCTTTACCTGTGGTTGTAATGGTTGAGGGTTTTCCAGCGTCCTGTAATACCCAAGGTAGTACAAGATACTGGAGATGTGCGCACACATTCCCATCATTCTCTCTCCAACTGGGCACTGGCAGTAGTAGTCCTTTATTGGGGCCTCAACATCGGGTGAAACGGTGAATCGCATCCTAACGTTATATTTCGTTTGGCTTTTGTGTCGAGAATGTATTTGACATCGGAGAAGGTCTGGGGAGTGCTGGTAAAGCCACACCTCATAGTCGCCATCATCACTTAAATGTTCGGCGATGTAACCAGGAGCCAGAGATATCTGATACGTTCCACACGTAATGGTTCTCAAGTAATCAAGATCGAGACGGGGAAACAGTACTTTATTTATTTTTTTTTTACACATCATAAAACTGTCATGAAAATATCCGCTCTGATATTCAATATAAAAGTTTGTATATAATAAGCTATATAATAGGGTTTCAGACAAGGTTGTTACTAATTTCCCCTTTTCTTTCAATTTACAACCACATTCAGGCGGCGATATGAGAACGTTCCACCACATGGAATTAGCTGATTTTTGGTACACATATGAAACAAGTAAAGCTCTATCCGATTTTCTGATAGAAATTTGCATCCAAAACTATATAACGGGAGAAAATTGCAAATTTATGGCATTTTTCTTCATAATTGTGTCTCTGCAAGTGCATTTTCATCCAAGAATATATTTTTTTTATGTTTTATGAATAAACACGATGTTTTGGAAATATTTATCAAAAGAAATTTATACTATGTTGCGAATTACAATTTTGAGATAACCTTCTTTTATTTACGAACTTATGTCTTTGATGCTGAAATTGACAACTTTATACAAATACATTTTCACTGAAATTATGAAATCTGGGTGTTGGAAAGGTGTAAAATTATTTTTCGGAAAAGAAAAAAACAGTAGTTGAGCTAGATAAGAAATTATACGGGGGCAGGCTCCTATGGAGAATTAACATTACTGGAAACAGGCCCTTTGATGAAATACGAACTGATAATACATACACTTCTACATATATAAGATAAAATAAAATTTCTTCCCTTAGCGGCATTGTAATAAAAGCTCTACAGAGCTTATGTTGTTTGTTGATCTACATGACGTTAAATAAAGATTATTATTTATTTATAGATGTCAGTTTTATCAGAGACGTATATAACACATATACGTCTCTGGTTTTATACACAAAATAATTCAGACACCACAGATGTTTACCAGTAGCACATCAATAATGAATGTTAGAAATGATAGATATGTACTATATTTTATTTGGAACAAAAAGGAAACAATCTTAATTACAACAGATAGAAAGAACCATAATTAGCCTATTGCAATACTGTATACCCTTATGCTAACTCAACTGTACATGTATGAAATCAAAGTACTGAAAGTACTGGTATGCTAAGACCATTAGCTTGCTATATACTGAAACCAACTATATGCAAGCAGTAAAACATTGCAGTCCATAAGAAATGACCAGCAAATATCAGAAATAACAAGCATAGTAGTATTACTTATGTAATACATGTCCTGAGTAGGCTCCAAGATGCAATGATAGGGAAGTTGTCCATTTCTTTGGATACATTGTAGGGAATGTTGATCTTGGACACCATATTATCACTTTAAAGACCGTGTATCTTATTGGTTTAAGACCATTAGTTAGACTATTATGC